AGGAAGATTGGTTATATCTATCTCACCAGGCCCTCTGTCTGGAGTTGTCTGAGTAATTTTTGACTGCACCAGATTCTTCTGCCTTTTCATGGTGATAGAAGTGGTTACAGGCAGGTGGCGCGTGTGTCATCTGGGAGAACAAAGTCCCTTCCTGCTTGGTGGTTGCCTTGCCCTTCTCTGCTGCCTGAGCCATCTACCTGACTGGGAGCAGTCTCTGGGATAATCTCCTGAGCTGCCATGGGCGGGGCAGCCGTCGGGATAGGCTACCGCATTGTGGGGGGATTGCAGCCACTCCGGGTGTGTTCTGAAAGAACGGCACCCCTTCGTGCCTTCTGGACCTTGCTCCGGCTTCCGCTGCCTGTGCCATCCATCCGCACACCCGGAGTAGTGTCTGGGATAGTATCTTAAACTGCTGTGGGCAGGGAGGCTCTAGGGATAGCGTAGCGCACTGCAGGGGGTCGCAGCTGGCCGTGTGTGTTCTCCTGCGAGACCGTGCCCCTTCGATGAAGTACATTCTTAATTGTCAGTTAAGTATTAGTTGTGTTGATTAAAGTTATCTTTTTTACATCATAATTCTTTGACAAATGGTAATCATTTGTGTATCTGGTAATGTATTAACTAGGATCTTTTTGTGTATTAAAAAACATTTGTGATTGTTGCAGTTGGATTTAAAACTATGTGTTTTGTTTGAAAATTAGGAAATAATTAAAAGGGAAATGAGAATAGAGGAAAGAAAGAAAAGAGAAAAAATTTTTACTGTTTTTTAAATTTTGTGATGGTTAGATTACACTTGGTTGCTACCATATGCTTTGTCTAGCCTGTTTTTTTATTATTCCAGAGGGAAAGTTGGCTACCATTTGGAGGATTACTAAATTATCAGGAAAATTTCACTGTTTTAGTTTGAGTTCCCCTCTGATTTTTCTTGGTTCCCTTGTGACCTCAACTAAGTCCCTGATGTTGCATTACAGTCTTTTGTGATGTGGCAGAGTCTGCTTTCTGTAACCTTCATTTTTTATTTGTGACATCAGAACTTCAAAGTATGATGTTCTAATATAATTTTGATGGGAAAGTGTAGGTAAAACTTTCTATTTTGAAAGATTGTGTGCCCCTTTCAGCAAATGTTGACTCAGAAAACTTATGACTAGACATTTGTATTGTATTGCACTGGAAAGGTTCTTTGAGTTGTGCTTTCACATCTTTCATTAGGGAGTAAAATGCCTGCTTGATATCAGCAGTATCAACCGTCTTTCCTTCATTTTTTTCTCCAGTGTTTTCATGTATAGCTCCATTTTTCTTCTAAATTCATATTTAGAAATTTATATGTAGCTTTTCCTTTACCTGTTTGACTATCTTGCCTGCAATATTAGGTAAGACAGGACATTTACCATATTTAGCCATATGTCACCGAATAGGCATTTTCCAGTTTAGTATTAAGCCAAAAAGTTATTCCTGTTCTGAAGGACACTCACAAACTGGAATTCATTCATAAGTGGGCAGTGAGCCTTGTGAATGCTTTAGAAACTGTTCAATAAGAATGGTTAAAAGAAATAGAGATGCTTAGCTTGGAAAAGAGAAGACATGGTGGTTCTTAAGTATTTGAGGGGCAAATGTAATAAAAAAAGGTCAAGACAATCTGAGTGGGCAGATGGTGTTTAATCAATATTACGTGAAGCAGATTTATATGCAATAATGTAAAGATCCCATAGAAATTGTCCTCCAGTGGGAAAGTTAGCCTCACAAGGTTATTGGACTTGTTTGAACAGGGGCCCAGATGGTTGACCGTGAATCAAAGATGCTGTAGGAGAAATTTCAGTATAGAAGAGTCATATGACCTCCAAGTCCCTTCTAGCTCTCACACAGCTATTAGTGCAAGTCCTTTCCTAGACTTGTTCCTCATCCTGCAGGATGGCACAAAGTGATTCAGTTAGTGGAAGAGTTGATTTCCATTTCCTAAAGCTGTCTGAGGTGCTTGTTTTAGTCAAAGGGACTAGTGAAGTCTTACAGAGTTTGAATGAAATGAACATGAAGTTATCCATGGACCAGAACAATTTGTATTGACTTAGTGGAAATATAGTCCACCTACCTCCTTAATTTATATTAACACATGAATCTTGAAGAGTTTCTTCCCGCAAGTTGTCATTTCCAGTCCCTGTGTCATGGTCTTAAGGGACTTGGTTTAGAGATTTGTTCAGGAAAATGGCCAACCCAAGTAGAAAGGGTTGGATTTGCTGCAGGAAAAGTGAGAAACTATAAAATGCTCCTGATTGCCACAGTATGAGCACTATATAAATACACTGGTCAGTATGGTGAGGTCTTCATTATTTGTTGTGAATGCTTTCTTCACATACATGTTGTGGGGAAGAATATCCTTCTCAAGGGAAGATTCAGGCCTTGGAGGCAAGTCTGCCTTTCCTCAGGCACTGATTATTTATGAACCTAAAAGACTCTATGAGAATGTGAAGGCAACTGCAGAGTTAGGAAGGAAGGAAGGAAGGAAGGAAGGAAGGAAGGAAGGATCCTTCCTTCCTTCCTTCCTTCAAAGAAAGGAAGGAAGGAGCTAGGTTATTGAGAATTTTTCTTAAAATAATAAATGTATCTATAGTTGAACTTGGCCATAAGCCCCATGAAAGCAGGAGTTTTTGACTGCTTTGTTTACTGCTGTATTCCCAGTGTTCAAATCAGTATCAGGCACTGAGTTAAGTACTCAGTAAACTATTTGTGACTGATGTGAAGAGCTTACAGATATCCTAAACTCCCTATCTCAAGGCTAGGAATAGGTCTGTCAAGGCCGAAGCATTAGGATATGATAATAGGGTATCATTAGTTTGGTTACAGTACATACCAGTGCTTCCCAAAAATGTATTCTGTGTCAAATACTTCCAAGAACTGCAGGTGTTAACAGTGTTAGCAGGATTCTTTTTCAGCCTGCTGATATGGTGAATTACACTGATTTGTGAATGTTGAATCAGCTTTGCATTTCTGAAATAAAAAAACTATACATTTTTCATGATATATTGTCTTTTTAAAATACTATTGAATTTGGTTTTTAACATTTTATTAAGGATTTTTTTCATTTATGTTCATGAAGGCTGTGGTTCTGTAGTCCTGTTTTCTTCTAATGATTTTGGTTTTGATATCAGGATAATGTTGTCCCTGTAGAATGAGTTGGTAAATAAGTGTTCTTTCCTCTTGTTTTCTAGAAGAGTTTGGGATCATTTCTTTAGATGTTTGGTAGAATTCTCTAATGATGCTATTGAGCCTGGAGTTTTCTTTGGGGGGAAGGTTTTTTTTTTTAAAACCATAAATCCAATTTCTTTAATAGATACAGGACTGTTTTCATTTCTATTCTAGTGAGCTTTGGTAGTTGTCTTTCAAGGAATTTGACAATTTCATCCAAGTAATCGAATTTATTGGCCTAAGGTTGTTCATAATATTCTTTTATTATCCTATTAATATCTTTAGGATATATAGTCATGTCCCCTCTCTGATTCCTGATATTGGTTATTTCTTTGGTTTCTTTGATTTTCTGTGTTATTTTTCTTTTTTCAATTTTACTGATCTCTGCTCTTATTTTATTATATCATTCTTTCTGTTTGCTTTTAGGTTTGATTTGCTCCACTTTTCTCAAGTCTTACCATGGGTTTTGTTTAAGTGTAGGCTTCAAATGATGACTGACTCCCCATATTGGTATATCTGATTTCCCTTTGTTATATATTCTTTTGTTTTCCCTCATATGAGCCTTAGACTAAAAACTTTGAAAACATAACAGACCTCAAAAAAAATCTTAATTACAAAAAATCTTTAAAAAATTTTAATTGTGATATGAGACATATCCTTTGTTAATTTATTCTGGTTATTTCTGTCCATCAGAGACACTGTCATTTTGACTTTGGAGAGTATAGAACATTATATAGTATTGAATATATATATTTTGACTTGGGAGAGTATGTAACATTATATAGTATTGAATATAGTGTATCTTTGGTGAGTTTGAATCTTAACATAGGTTTACTAATATTCTAGGTTGGTTTTTCTTCAGTTGCTATGTCATTCTCAGTTTGTGCATTTTGTTTTTTTTAGTCTGTGCATATTTGAGTTCATAATTTTCTCTCTCATTTTAAGAAAAAATAAGCTTCTACAGCCTTTTATTGATGGATTAATTTATTTAATTGTATCTTTAAGGAAATATTTTGAAAGTCCCTAGAAATACTTGTTATTTTAGCACTGAATTGGTCTTCAGATCTGCAGTTAAACTCTTAAAAGAGTATTTCATTTTCAGATTTATTTTTATGAAGGCATAATGTGGATTCAGTAAAACCTACAAATATCAAGTATACAGCTCAGCAAATAAATTAAAACAACCACTCAAATCAAGATTCTAAGAGAACTCTTAGTGCTTTGGGAAAGAGTAAAAAGGTTGAGCCTTTTACTATATGTTTTACATTAAGTAGAAATCCTTATTTATAAAGACAGTTTTATGTTAATCAGCAAACTGTAAAATGAGGGAAAATATGGGAAAAAAATGACCTTCCTCAAGGGGAAAAACAAAGACTTTCAGAATAGATAGGACTTCAGAGAAAAGAGTGAAGGGTTGAGGGTTTTTTTTTTTATTTGTTTGACTTTGGTTAGAAGAATGGGTAATTTTTTTATACAAAGGATTTCAGATTTTAAAGAGTTAATGTGGATGATGTTAAACAGTGGCTTACAGGTCCAAATGTGGTGAAATGGGTTCAAGTTAAAGAAGGGAGTTTGTTTAAATATTGGAAAAACCTTTGTGACATTTTGATGCTAAAATCATAAATTTCAGAATTGTGTGAAGTCTGTAAATGACTAGCTTTAAGAAATAAGTATCTATGTTGGTTTAGCTATTCAATTTGCCAATAGACAGGTTTGGATCCATCCTTCTAGTTGAAAAATATAAGATTCTGTGACCTACATCTAATGGCACTAGAATATCCATTTGGTCATGTCTTGAGTTTGGTTTTATTCTCTTTGTCTAGAAGATTAAGATTGCAGCCCTGCGCATGTATACTAACTGTGTGGAGAAAACTGACTTCGAGGAATTCTTTCTAAGTAAGTTACTATTTTTGATAGTTCTAAAATGGAAAATGAATGTACTTTTCATTTTTATGATGTGTCTAGTAGGATAGATTTTAAGTCACTAGTGAAACAATTTTTCCTATACAAAATATATAATAAAAGCTGCTCTTTTTCTCTTTTAATAGAATAAACAAAGTCCAAATGAACCCTATAAATAAAACATTTTAACAAGTTTGAAGAAAACACTAAAAATGTCTCCAGTTCTTTGATGTTATCATTCCCCTTTTCACAGTTGCATCTTTTTACAGAAGAGTACCCATAGTAAACATATCATGTTTTACTTAGCATTTTGATATGGACTTCTTGCCAGTCATTACTCTTTTATTTCTAGTTTCTAATGATTTTAGTTAATCCTGGACTATGCCTCATGATTGTTCTTGTTTCTTTTGAGGGACTGTTGGGTCAAAAGGCACATATAATTTTATTATTTATTTCCCACTGATAAATTGTTTCCCAAAAGGATTTTACTGATTTAGACTACTGTGAGCAGTTGATTGTACCAATACAGTATTCATTTTAATGCTATAAACTGCTGTAGTTTTAAACAAAATTAAAGCAGGTAGTTAACAAAGTCATTGAGAAAGTTTACCAGTTTCATAGATTTAGGAAGGAAATGTGCTGTGCACATCTATGGTAAAAGCCTTTGTCTTCCAAGCAATGAATGCTCAACTGTGTGTTCTGGATATTTTTCATGGACAACAAATATTTATACAGTTGACCCTTGAACAGCACAGGAGTTGGGGCAGCAACCCCGTAGGCAGTTGAAAAATCTGTATAATTTTTGACTCCCTGAAAATTTAACTACTAATAATCTATTGTTGACTAGAAGCCTTACCAATAACATAAACTGTTGATTAATACATTTTTATGAATTATAACATTCTTATATTACATTTTACATATATTCTTACAGCAAAGTAACCTAAGAAAAGAAAATGTTTTTTTCAAATTTTGGCAAGTCTCAAAAAACATTTCCAACGTATTTACTGAAAAATGTCCATGTATAAGTGGACCATGCAGTTCAAACCTGTGTTGTTCAAGAGTCAGTTGTATATAATTATACAATTATAATAAACAATGTAGTTTGATTATTTAATAGCATTTTGGTTTTTTAATGCCAAGTGCGATTTGTTTTGTTGATTTTGCTCTTTTAGCAGATTGCTATAAAATATTAGAAACTTAAAGTACCATACTGAGTTATGATCCTAATTTAGTATCCACCTTCCATTTCTATTTTTTTTTTGAGAGGGCATCTCTCATATTCATTGATCAAATGGTTTTAACAACAATAAAATTCTGTATAGGGGACTCAATGCACAATCATTAATCAACCCCAAGCCTAATTCTCAACAGTCTCCAATCTTCTGAAGCAAAACGAACAAGTTCTTACATGGTGAACAGTGCAAGGGCAGTCATATCACAGAAACTTTCAGTTTTGATCATGCATCATGAACTATAAACAATCAAGTCAGATATGATTATTCGTTTGATTTTTATACTTGATTTATATGTGAATCCCACATTTCTCCCTTATTATTATTATTATTTTAAATAAAATGCTGAAGTGGTAGGTAGATGCAAGATAAAGGTAGAAAACATAATTTAGTGCTGTAAGAGGGCAAATGTAGATGATCAGGTGTGTGCCTATAGACCAAGTATTAATCCAAGCTAGACAAGGGCAACAAAATATCCACAGATGCAGAAGATTTCTCTCAAAACAGGGGGTGTGAGGTTCTAAGCCTCACCTCTGTTGATCCCCAATTTCTCACCTGATGGCCCCCCTGCGACTGTGCCTGTCTTACGCTGTTCCTCCCTTGAGGAATCTTACCCGTCTCTGGCTAACCAGTCATTTTCCGGGGCCATACAGGGAAATGTAAAGTTGGTGAGAGAGAAGCAATATTCTTTGAAAAGGTTAGCTTTTTACTTCTTTGCAGCAGCTTCCATTTCTTACTTATTCATAGTGAGGAAAGAAAACTTCCTTGCTTCCTTTCATCTTATAACACTTTCTTATTTTAGGAGAAATTAGTCTGTAAGGAAAAAATATTCTCTACCTCATGAAGAAACTATTCATATTAGAAGCTGGATTTTTCTTAAGTGTTGTCCTGAATCCATGTGCTTAAGTATTCATCAGATCTTTTTAGAACCTCATCCTGAGACATCTATTTAATATTAGATTCAATGAATAACTCATACATTTATTATAATTATTTCAAAAGGATGTTTACTATTTTTGTCTTAGCCAATCCTCATTATTGAAGATTCTTGTGTTAATAATACAGTATTGAATAATGTGACTGTTATTACATATTTAATATATCACATTTCAATTTATAGTCTTTTGTAAACTACTTATAAAAATAAAAATTTCAAAAAATTACTACTATTATATACTAATAATTCACATTTACATAATATGCTTTTACATTTTTCTCATTTAGAAGTTACAAAACATTGTGGGATAGGAAGGACTTTATTTTTTTTTCAATTCAAGTATTGACATATAACCCCTCCCACATGGTGACCACCAGTCACTTCTCAGTCCTGTGAGTCTACTGCTGTTCTGTTCATTTTGTTTTGCTTTGTTTTTATATTCCACAAATAAGCAAAATCATAATGGTATTTGTCTTTCTCTGTCTGAAGGACTTGTATTCTTATTTTCATTTTTGGGTTATTTTTTTCGGCTAAGTAATTTGACCAGAGTTGCTTAGTCAAGCATTGATCCTATGTCATCTAGCTTAAAATCCAGGAATTTTTCCACTATCACATATTGCTTGTGAATGAGTGTAACTGTAAATTAGAAATTGTAATCCATCTTAATATTGTTGTGTTTTATTATTTTTAAATGAAATCTACCTCTATGAGATGCTCTATTAGTGTTATAAATTGATGTCTAGATATAGTAGAGCATGTACATCTCAGTGAGCTTTGCCCTAGCTTTGCCCTTTGAAGTAGTTACTGAGGGAGGCAGTACATTTTTCAGTGACATCAATTTGAGACTCAATTTAAGAATTACCTTTTAGACCTATAGGGTGGTGTTCATTTGTATTTTATGCTCCTTTATACTCCATCTTTGACATTTGTGGGTAGATTAAAATTTAAAATCAAACCAAAGTGGTTCCAAACTATAGCCAGTGAATAAAAAAGGGAGCACATCTTAAAAGTGCCATTTGGAGGCAGAAAAAGACTATCTATAAAATAATGACACTGACTTTCTTGCATCTTTGATTCTAAAGAGTATGTCAGGCAGTTTGGGGGTAGAAGAAGAGAATATGTTTATAGCTTCCCCATAAACATTATTCATTTATTTTATTTTTTGCTAGTTTTTAATTTTTAATTTAATTTTTATTTTGGTATCATTAATATACAATTACATGAGCAACATTGTGGTTACTAGATTCCCCCCATTATCAAGTCCCCACCACATACCCCATTATAGTCACTGTCCATCAGCACAGTAAGATGCTATAGAGTCAGGACTTGTCTTCTCTGTGTGCTAATCGTAATGCCCCTTTTTCCCCCTTATCCTTGCCTTCCCACCCATCCTCCC